GCAGAGGCAGAAGGATCGCTGGAGCCCAGCAGGTCGAGGTTGCGGTGGCCGGGAGCGGCCACTGCACTCCAGTTTGGGCGACAGAGTGAGACTGCAACTGAAAAAAAAAAAAAGAATAAAACCCATTAGCCAGTTGCAGTGGCTCACGCCTGTGATCCCAACACTTTGGGAGGCAGAGGCAAGAGGACTACCTGAGTCCAGGGATTCGAGACCAGCCTGGGCATCATAGTGAGACCTTGTCTCTACCAAAAATAAAAAAGTAAGACTGTGCGCAGTGGCTCACACCTGTAATCCCAATACTTTGGGAGGCAAAGGCAAGAGGATTGACTGAGCTCAGGAGTACAAGACCAGCCTGGGCAACTTGGTGAGACATTGTGTCTACAATAAATAAAAAAATTAAGCCGGGCTTGGTGGCTCAGCCTGTAATCCCGCGCCTTTGGGAGGCTGAGGTGAGTGGATTGCCTGAGCCCGCGGGTTCGAGACCCACCTGGGCAGCGAGACCTCATCTCTACAATAAATCAAAAAATCAGCCAGGTGTGGTAGTACATGCCTGTAATTCCAGCTACTTGGAAGACTGAGGCGGAAGGATCGCCGGAGCCCAGCAGGTCGAGGCTGCGGTGGCTGGGAGCGGCCACTGCACTCCAGTCTGGGCGACAGAGCGAGACTCCAACTCAAAAAAAAAAAAATTAGCCAGGTGTGGTGGTGCATGCCTACTTGGAAGGTTGAGGTGGAAGGATGGCCTGAGCCAAGCATTTTGAGGCTGTGGTGGCCATGAGTGTGTCACTGCACTCCAACCTGGGTCACAAAGTGAGACTCCAACTCAAAATAAAAAGAATAAAACCTCCATGCAATGGTGTGTGACTGTGTGTGTACATTCTGGAGTCTGGGTAGGGTCTGTGCTTGGCTGGTCATATGATCTTGCATGTGTCTTTGTTAGGTGATATGAGGGAATACGGGCCCTGGGCCCCTGCCTGCCTGTGGCTGCTGGGAGCACCCTGAGAGTGTGAGAGCTGAGAACCTGGTGTGTCAGTCCATCTGCCTTATATCTGCGAGGGTGGCAAGTTGTCAAACTAGGTGTGTTTTGTGTGACTCCGGAAGCCTTTGTGACATTGTGGACTGCCCTCTGTGTCATTGTGGTTGTGTGAGGCTGTTTTTAGGAAAGCTGAATTTGTGTCTGGGTTTCTATGTGCATCTCTGTGGTTACAGGTGACTGTGGAGTGACCAAGCCTCACTGAGCACTGTGTGAGTGTGTGTGTGTGTATGTGTGTGTGTGTGTGTGTGTGTGTGTGTGTGTGTGTGTGTGTGTGTGTGACTGGGGAGGAGACAGTCTGGTCCCTGTCCCCTACCCTAGCTCCAAGTTCCAGATCACTTGGACCTGCCAGTGAGTGGGAGAGGGGACAGGGAAGGACAAGGGAGGGAGGACAGGCAGATTTCTCCCCCTGCACTAAGTAACAAACTGGTGGGACTTCTCCAAAGTCCTGAGGCTGCAGCCCAGCCAAGGGGGGAGGGCTAGGGAGGGATTGCCCACGCCCACTCCCCAGCCCCTCCCACCCAGGGTCTGGCTGCAGCCCCACCCAACACCGAAGCCACCCGCCCATTCTGTTCCCGTCCCGGAGTATCCCAGTACCTGCCACCTTCAGCACAGGTAAGGAAGGTCCAGGCCTGGAGGAATAGGGGACCCTGGGGGCATGAGGGACATGCGGGTAGGAATCCATTCAGCATTCCCCTGTGGTGGGGGGTGGAGTGCTTGGAAGGAGGAGACCAGAACAAGGAAAGGTCAAGGTGGATCCGGGAGAAGGGAAATCAAGGAGATTTGGGGTGTTCATAAGTGTAAAGTGGACAGGCTGGGACAGGGGCCTGGGGAGCAGCGCCTGAGGGACTAGAGGTTTAGGGACAGGGCTCCAGAAGGAGTGCAGAGGGAAAATGGGCCAATATTGGGAGCTGGCAGAATGGAAGGGGAGAGCCAGAAGTGGGGGCTGCAGGAGGGGAAAGGAGGGGGTTGGAGCCCTAGAACCTAGAAACCGAGGCTCTGGGAAGTGGAGGATACGGTAGGTGGTGTCCAGGTGAGGGGAAGGGATCAAGTAGAGGGAGCAGACTGTGGACCCAAGGGTCTGGGTGCGGGGGATGGAAAGGGAAAAGGCTGGGGCCAGAAATGCAGGAAGGGGACAACCTGAGGTGGGAGCTGGGGCTGGGACCCAGCAGCATCAGGAAAAGGCAGAAACCTGGGCGAGGGCTAGGACCGAGGAGGTGGCCGGCTGGGAACGAGTGGGGACTCTGTGCTCAGTTAGCCCGCTTCTCCCCACCCCTACGCCTTACCCGCAGCTCCCAGTCTGGCCGCTCCCAGCCTCTTCTCCCTCCGCCTCGCCGACCGGAGCCACGATGACCGTCACCTACACGGCCCGAGTGGCAAACGCCCGCTTTGGTGGCTTCTCCCAGTTGCTGCTGCTGTGGCGCGGGAGCATCTACAAACTCTTGTGGCGGGAGCTGCTCTGTTTCCTCGGGTTCTACATGGCACTGAGTGCCACCTACCGGTGAGGCTGCACTGGCGAGGTGGGGCTTGAGTTCTAGGAGAGGGGAGCGGCTGGGAGAAGGGGTGGTGTAGGGGCTTGCCTGTGACCCCGTGACCCCCATTCCATAGCTTCATGCTGACAGAAGAGCAGAAGCGCTACTTCGAGAAGCTCGTCATTTACTGCGACCAGTATGCCAGCCTCATCCCAGTCTCCTTCGTGCTTGGTGTGGTTGAGCCCCTGAGTCCCCCATGTCCATGTCCCCGAGAAACCCATCTCTAGTTATGCCTTTTGGAGACCTCTATTCCTGCCCCTCTGAGACTGCCCCCTCAAATCCAGCCCCTCCAGTTCCCCATTTCTGGATCTTCACCGTGAAGATACCAGGTATCACCCTGAGGTGCCTGCTTGAGAGCTCCATCTCACCCACAGATGTATTCCTGTCACCTCGGGGATTCCCGCCTGTGTCTGTGTGTGATTACCTGTGCCCAGCCCAGCCCTCCAGGATCCCATATGACACCATCCTCTCAAGACCAGCCCGGGGCATTTCTTGACAAGTCCTGGTCCCCAGTCCCCAGTCCCCAGCGACTTCATGTGACCCCGGCCTCCCTCCCACCACATGATGGGGTGACCAGCCTGCCCAAGGCTCCCTGGTGTAGACCCTAAGTCCAGCCCCTTCAGGAGTTCCTGGTTCAGGGTCCAGTGTGTGTGCTGTCACAAGCCTGCCCGGGGGGGGGGCTTTGATGTATACCTCCACAAACCAGATGTTTCCGGTCCCCATGCCCCCAGCGAGTGGCTCCCTATGACGAGGGTGACAACCTGCCCGTGTGCCCCAAACATGGGCCCTGTGTTTCCATCCCCAATCCCCCAACCCAGCTGACTCCAGGTAGCCAGAGGCACCCGGATTGCTCTAGCACCTCGGACCTCAGTGCCGGACACCCCAGTTCCCAGCCCAGATGGCCTTGCGTGGTCAGGGCGACCAGCCTGCTCAGGTGTCCTTTACGCAGTCCCTATGTTGGCCCTCTTCCCACGAGCTGGTGTGCCCACTGAGCCCCATTTCCCACTGGCCTGCAGGCTTTTACGTGACGCTGGTAGTGCACCGCTGGTGGAACCAGTACCTGTGCATGCCGCTGCCCGACGCGCTCATGTGCGCGGTGGTGGGGATAGTGCACGGGCGCGACGAGCGTGGCCGCCTCTACCGGCGCACGCTCATGCGCTATGCGGGGCTGTCAGCGGTGCTCATCCTGCGCTCGGTCAGCACCGCGGTCTTCAAGCGCTTCCCCACCATCGACCACGTGGTGGAGGCGGGTGAGTCCCCTGCCACCGGCGGGGCGGGGGCGGGGCACGGGCGGGGGGCGAAGGGGGGCACCCCTGACCTCGCTCCTCCTAGGGTTTATGACTCGCGAGGAGCGCAAGAAGTTTGAGAACCTGAATTCGTCCTACAACAAGTACTGGGTGCCCTGCGTCTGGTTCTCCAACCTGGCGGCGCAGGCCCGGCGCGAGGGCCGTATCCGCGACAACAGCGCCCTCAAGCTGCTGCTCGAGGTGGGCCCCGGCTGGGGAGGTTCGTGCCTATGTGGATGGGGAGGACCAGGCGAGGGGCTTCGCGCCTGTAATCTCAGCACTTTGGGAGACGAGGCGCAAGGATCGCTTGAGCCTAGGAGTCCGAGATCAGCCCGGGCAACATGGCGAGACCCCGATCTCTAACAAAAACAAAAAGAAATCCAGGCGCGGTGGCGCACGCCTGTAGTCCCGGCTACTTGGTAGGCTGAGGCGGGAGAATCGCTTGAGTCCAGGAGTTTGAGGTTGCAGTGAGCTATGTTCAAATAATAATAATAATTAATAATAATAATAATAATAATACCACCAGGGGAACTGTTCCTCTGGAGTGTCAAGGGCAGCCGGCCACAAGCCTCCCACGAGACAGATGCCTTACCTAGGATCCCCCAGGTGCACACTGGCCCCCATGGGACAGCCCCTAGGCACGTACTCACACTCCAGGTGTACCAGACACTCCACCTGGAACCCCCAACTATCCTACCAGATGCCCACCTCCTACCAGATGCCCACTCGCCTCCATCCCAGGTGTCCACGCTTAATCTCCGCGAATGAGCTCACATTTCAGCCCCCTCACGACGTGCTTTCTTCCCCTCCCCCAGGAGCTGAATGTGTTTCGGGGCAAGTGCGGGATGCTCTTTCACTATGACTGGATTAGCGTGCCCCTGGTCTACACCCAGGTAACCCCGCCGTGCCTCCGCTTATATTCGGGCTCAAAGGGAAACTGAGAGCCAGCTGAGACCATCACAGTGACGCCCGAGCCTAGCCCGGGTCTCTCAATGACCCCCTGAGGCCTGCCCTGCACCCCCAGGTGGTGACCATCGCAGTGTACAGCTACTTCCTGGCTTGCCTCATCGGTCGCCAGTTCCTGGACCCGGCTCAGGGCTACAAAGACCACAACCTGGACCTGTATGTGCCCATCTTCACCCTCCTGCAGTTCTTCTTCTACGCGGGCTGGCTCAAGGTGGGTGGGGCCTGGAGGCCGGGATTCCGGAGGCGGGGCGGGCAGGGGTTCTCGAGGTTCCGCTCGATCACCCCCCTCTCCACTCAGGTAGCGGAGCAGCTCATCAACCCCTTCGGAGAGGACGACGACGATTTTGAGACCAACTTTCTGATCGATCGCAACTTCCAGGTGAGATTCCCCGGAACGTCTCAGGCCGTCCTGCTCCCGCCACCGACGAGACTTGCCCGGGCCTCGCCGGAACCATCCTGCGCTCTGCGGGTCCCACGCTTCCACCCACCCAGAGGGGTCCACCCAGTGTCCCCGGCGCGCTGCCCCACCCCGCCCCTCGCCTGTCGTGCTTGCACCCGCAGGTGTCGATGCTGGCCGTGGACGAAATGTACGACGACCTGGCCATGCTGGAGAAGGACCTGTACTGGGACGCGACCGAGGCGCGCGCCCCCTACACGGCGGCCACCGCCTTCCTACTGCAACAGCCCTCCTTCCAGGGATCCACCTTCGACATCACGTGAGCCCGAGGGGCGGGGCTTGTGGCTTCGCGGGGCGTGTCCGATTGAAAGGGCTAAAACAGACTAAGCGCTGGAGGTTGGGGGATCAACGCTAGTCTCTGACCGGGCCCGGTGGCTCAGCCTGGCATCCCAGCACTTTGGGAGGCCGAGGCGAGTGGATTGCCTGGGTTCGAGACCAGCTCGCGCAGCTTGGCGAGACCTAGTCTCTACAATAAATAAAACATTAGCCGGGCGTGGTAGTGCACGCCTGTAGTTCCGGCTACTAGAAAGGCTGAGGCGGAAGGATCGCTGGAGCCCAGCAGGTCGACGCTGGAGTGGCGGTGAGCGTGCCACTGCTCTCCAGCCTGGGCGACAGAGTGAGACTCTGATTCCAAAAAATAAAATAAAATAAAATAAAATAAATAGCCGGGCTCGGTGACTCAGCCTGTAATCCCGCGCCTTTGGGAGGCTGAGGTGAGCGGATGGCCTGAGCCCGCGCGTTCGAGACCCGCCTGGGCAGCGAGACCTCATCTCTACAATAAATCAAAAAATCAGCCGGGCATGGTAGCACGCGCCTGTAATTCCGGCTACTCGGAAGGCTGAGGCGGAAGGATCGCCGGAGCCCAGCGGGTCGAGGCTGCGGTGGCCGGGAGCGGCCACTGCACTCCAGTCTGGGCGACAGAGTGAGACTCCAACTCAAAAACTGCAAAAAAA